TGCATAACATAAGATAAGTGCTTCAATTCCTCAGTAGTTAGACATGACAATTATCCCTATCTTATAGGGATGTTGAGAGAACTGAATTAGACAGTACAGATTATTATAGATTATTAATTATAATAAAATACATATAGATTCCTAACACTTCAAAAAGGCACACAGTGTATACTTGATAAATTATTATTATTACTGTAACAGTTTTTTATTCATAGCAATAGAGTGAAATGTGTCTCAGTATGAACATCCAGAGGGAAAGACAGCTACTTAATAATAAAAATAAGGTATGATTTCCAGATTAACAAGGTGAAAAAATGGAATGAATACCAACTTTATCAAGCACATAAGAATAAAGATTGAATAGAAAAAAGATACAAAAGCATTAACATTAAGAAAATAAAAATGGAAAATAAAAAATGAAAGAATGTGAAGCAAGGTGTTTTTAGAACACTGAAGCTATTCTGTATGGCACTGTCATGGTGGCTACAGGTCATCAGACATTTGTCAAAACCCATGGAAAGTACAACACAAGAAATGAACACTAACGCAAACTATGGAACTCAGTTAATGAGCATGTATCAACAATGGTTTATGAAATGTAACAAATGTGCCATCTAATGCAAGATGTTAATAATAGCAGAAACCTAGGGGGAGGGTAAGGGAGTTTATAGGAATTTTGTACTTTCTACTCACCTTTTCTGTAAAGCTAAAAGTACAAAAAAATTATAAAATTTTTAATTTTAATAATTAATTATAATTAATAATAATTAATTATAAAAATAGTGTAGAAATGTCTGTGTATATATATCTCTATATATATGTATCTGCGTGTGTATATATATATGTGTGTGTGTGTATATATGTACAGAGAGAGAGAGAAAAAGTGAGAGATAACTCGGCAGAAATTTATAATATATATATTAGAAACTTTATATTAATCATGTATATAATTTAGTAACAACAGATTTTTGTCAACTATGTTACATAATAAATTTGTTAGCTTTTATCGTTAGTTACTTGTATGTTAATATTTCCTTGAAGTATTAACAACACCTTGCAAATAAATGGTTTATAAAATACATATAGATTATTTCATCATTGTAGTAATCCTAAGAGGTAATCAAAGGCAGGTATTAGTTATGCTTTAAGGATTACAGAAAAAGGAATGGTTAACTTCATGGAGCAAGCAAGTTGCTGAGTGGACATAAAGACTAATTCTTCTGATTTTCTGATTTTGGAAAAGACTCATGTCGATAAACGTAAAAAATAAATATATTCTGCAAAACGTGCTAAAAATAATGGACCAGATAAATGAAAACATAAAATGAAATGAAAGATATAAGATGTTTTATCAATCATTATGGAGATTGGGTATGGACTATAATTTCCCATAAAAAAAGGTTTATATTCTTAAACTGGACTTTGAAAAATCCACAGTTACAGAGAGACAGGAAGAATATGTGTTAGTGTTCTGTCACACAGTGGGGTGACTGTAGCAGTAACAAATCTATTTCAAGGTTGCTAGAAGATAAGATTTTTAATGTCATTACCACAAAGAAATGATAAATGTTTGAAGTAATGGATATGGCAACTACCCTAATTTGATCATTATACTATGTATGCATGCACCGACACATCATATTGTGCCATATATATATATACACACACACACACACACACACACAAAATTATTATCTGTCAATCATAAATTTAAAAAGTAAATAAAAATAAAATCTAGCTTATACTATTTGCAAGAATCAGAATAAAAAGAAAGTAATGAAAATCTAAAAATAAATGCAAGAGAGAGAGAGGTTGGAGGAGAGAGAGGATGAGTAACAATATTAATGTTAGAAGGTGGACTTCAGGGTTGAAAGCACTAAACAGAAAATAAAATAGGCTGATATGTACTGATAAAAGTCACATTTTGTGAAGCAGATTTGCAGTCATAGAGTTTTACATGACACCTTACAGCAGCTCAATATAAAAAGTGAGAACTACATATCACCTTGGCAACTTGATGAAAATATAATTTGAATAAGAACATTTCATATGTTTCTTTTGAAATTTAAGTAAATGTAAGCATGTCATGAAAATTAACTGACTTAATCCTCACAATAATAACCCTGTGAACTGAACACAATTATAATCTGTATTTACAATTGAGAAAAACTACAAACGATATTAGTCAAAAGGTTTTGACACATCCAATAAGAATGACAAATCCTTCATATGCTTGATTAAGGACAAAAGAAAGGGAGTAAAATAGAAAAGAATAGAGATAAGAAGATTTAACTACAGAGAGTATTTACAGAATAATATATGTTATGATATGCAATTCTATGGCAGCCCATTTGAAAACCAAAATAAATGAATGATTTTTGGGCAAAATATGTAATTACCACAATTGAATGAAAAATAAGTGGAAAATCTGAAATGATCACTTAGAAAAGTATTGAAGGAACAGAGACATTCACAGGTAATTTCTATTAAATATATAAAAAGTATGTACTTCAGGTATATTAAAGCAAGGGATGAATATTCATGATCGGAAAATGTATAGATGGTGATATTGGATAGGCATTTGATAAAATTCAGTAGCCATTACTAATAATAACACCAAATAAAATAAGAATGATAAGAAACTACTAATATTAAAAGGAAAACCTGTAACAGCCTTCACATGATTTCAGGCCCAGCCTTCTAGCCTAACACTGAGCAGAGCAGAACTGAGCTGTCCTCAACCAGCCCTGCCTTACCCAAATTGCAGATTTGGAAGCAAAATAAATATTGTCACTTATTTAAGCCAGGGTTTCTTGGCACTGTATTACTGACCTTTTGGACAGGACAATCCTTTTTTATAGGTGGTTATCCTATGCATGGATAGGATATTCAAGAGCATTCCTAGCCTCCTGCCAGTAGCAACCCCGCATATGTATTGACAATCAAAAATATCCTTGGTAGGCAGAAACACTCCCAGTTGAGAATTACTGCTTTAAGCCATTAAATTTTGTCATTCTCTGTTATGTAGTTACAGTAATAGCTTGTCTTTCCCTGCCCTGGATATCATCCCCACCAACGTCCCAACTTAGGGAATTTAACTAGCCCATATAATTAAATCTACACAACATTTATACATAATACATGCATACATAGCATATAGGACTATTTTTAACATCATTTCACAAAGGTATGAAAAGATAATATGTATATATGCCTATGTAATCTTTCTTTTCTCACTCAATACCTTGTAGAAATCAAATAAATGAACAATTTTAAAACTTTTTTATTGGTTATAAAATAATACATCAACTCAAATCTTATATTGGCTATATAATATTACATAATATATCCTGTAATTCTTCTCTTAATGGATGTTCAAGTTATATCCATTATTTTTGTTTCTGTAAACATTAAATAATAAAATATTTCTATTTATATCTTTATGTAGTGGTGATTAGTGTCTTAGAAATATTTTTCCAGGAGAATATTTGCTGGGTTAAAGGTTTTATAATTTTAATAGATGTTATTTGCCTGATTGCTTATTTTTAGATTGTCCTCAATACCTCACATTTCAGCTAGTAGCATACAACTTTTTAATTTGTTCAGAATATTTTATATTCCTCTTAAGATTATACATACACATATATATTACATGCCATATATACATAATGTATGTCAGATTATATACGTATAAGTTCCCACGGGTATAATCAAAACATCAATGTGAGAGGAAGGTTCAACTTGGTGATTTTTAACTTCCCCTTGAACCTGATAAGTTTTGACTTAGAGTAACATGGCCCATGAAGGTCCTGCACTCAAAATTCTTTTTTGCTTTCCTAAAGCTTAAACCCTTAAGATTTGGGATAGACTCAATATATCCTCTCACTCAATGTACTTCCCTGCTTTTCATGACCAGTTCTGAGAACCTAGTGACTCAGAATGTAGGAAAGAAAGAATGCTATAGTAGTGGAGATTAGCAATGATTCTACTCTCCTTTCAGCCTTCTCACTCACTGCTGCTTCTTCCTGTCTTCCTGATCACCCTTCATGGCCACGGAAGTTCTACTAAATCTCAGCAAAGTTATCCTATATAAAAAAGAACCAGAAGTTCTCCTGTCTGTTTAAAGATATGCATGGAAATGAATTACAAAGACAGATTTCTAATCTCAAAATCATATTAAATTGCGAGTTCTGAGAATTAGAAATAATTGTAAGAAGCATATCTTTTTGGCACTATTAGTGTATGAGTATAATATAAACCATATGAGGCTAGCAGTAATCCACCCTCTTAGTGAATTCCTCTAGTGACCAAGAGCTCACTACTTACAGGGTATCAAATTCTATCTTTACATAGTACTGAGTGTTACAAATGTCTTTGTTTTTTAACCTGAAATCAGGCAATTTGTTAATTGTAACTATTGGAACTAGTTCTAGTTAATCTTTTCAATAAATTTGTTACAACATCTCTCTTACAAAACAATAAACACTATTAACATGTTGGTATATTTTCCCTTTGCTTTGTAATATGTATGAATATACTTGCATACATTCTAATATAAGTAACAATGTCATTTTTCTATGTCTTTAATTTTTTTCAAAAAGATTTTCTGTAAATACACAATCTATACTATGGATATATTGTAATTTATTTAACCAGTTTCTTATTGAACATTTTTAAATGTTCACAAATATTCAGCATAATGATGTAATAAACAAAGTTTTACACTATTTTTGCTGAAATGTATTATTTTTGTAATTTTATAAATTATTTTGTGCTTACTGGCTTAAAGGATATGAATATTTTAAAGTTTTGAAATATATTTGCGTATGGATGAATGTTATATGTATGTTTCTTCTCTTGATTATTTTGTTTTATGACAAAATATATGATTCTTCATATATAAAGAAAGATATATACAAACACACACACAAAAAAACCCACACTCATAGCACTTATTTCTCTCCTGAGCTAAGAAACAAGCAATGGACACAAAAGACAGATACTTGGGAATAAAATTATCTTTATCATTGAAAAAAAGCTTGACTGTAAAACACAACATATCTATAACTACATGTTAGGTAGCCTGCTAAAACTATGTACACACACACATATGCATATAAGATAGCCTACTAAATATATATATACACACACACAGTTACTGCAAATGAGAGCTGGCTCTGCAAAAGCATATGGGAACCTGTATTGTCCGAAGTACTTGATTGGAGAAAATGCCTCAATTTTGTAGACTCTCGTATTTATCTGAAAGACCATTATTTCACCAATTATTTGATGCTTTGAAAACAAATCTGCCTTTGCACACCTAGTTAAAAACCCTTCACTAACTTTCCATTGCTCATAGGATAGAGCATAGCACCTGTGTGACCTAGTCTTAACCTGTCACTCCAGCCCTATTATTCACCACTGCTTTCGTTTCTGATGTATGTATCAGGACCATTGCATATGTGGTTACTATAACATATGTAACTATAGTTACCAGAACATATATTTTACACATATACTTTATATACTATACTACATATATGTGTGTGTGTATATATATATACACATATACTGCATGTATATATATACACACACACACAGTTTTAATAGGCTACCTAATATGCATTTCTGAATAGAAATAGATTTACTCACTTTATTATGGAGACACTGGGTGGCCACACACAACTGCAGTTGGGACAGAGCCTACTCTGTAAGCTTTCCTCAGGAGAAGCAGAGAAAGCATGTGCCGTGTAGACGATTACATTAAAATGGGAAACAAATTGTTCCTTTTCTTTTTTCAATCTCGCCAATGAAATAAATCTGTTCTCCTAGGAATTGTTGGCCCTTTATAGGAAAATTAGGTGCGGAGAGTAGTCTTCGTTTCCCAACATCTGTACGTTTCCATCTGTATGTATTTCAAGGCAGTGAACTTCACTGATTACTCCATATACATGCACATGTATACATGCAAATGTATAAGCACATATATTTATACATATTGTGATACGTGTAAATTGATACTAAAGAATACACAAAAATAACAGCTAATAGAAATGTTTTAAAATACGCAATTCTATAATGTGCAATTTGAGTTTTTCCCAATTGTGTTCTAGGGCAATAAACCATTTTTTAAAGAGCTTAGTCAATTTGCTTGCCTGTCTTTGGAGGCCCTCTTATCTATAAATGAAGCTGTTGAAATGCATTTGTTAGTTTAACATTATTCGCTATGAGTTGGTTATGCAGTGCTAATACCGCTGTTCCAAAGGTGGCCACAGAAAAGCTTCCGGTTGGATAAAGAAAACAAAAGGATTATATGTACTGTTTTCATCATGGCCCTCTTTATCTAACATCATAGAGCTTTCTGGAGTTTTACTTTATTGTTGACAGAGTACTGTATTATGATACTTTTATTCATCTTAATGACATTTAGCATTATGAATTTCACAGCAATCATATATTTTTCTAATATTGTTTTAGAATATACAAACACTTCCTCTGGCTACAGGTTGGCATTATGCTTTCATTTTGTGAAAAATAAATGTAGAAAACAGAGATATTATCAAGTTTCACTAATCTAATACAATTTTGAAGTACATTTATTTGTTTTAGTCGGTAAATCAGATAATTTTGCCACAAATTATTAGGTTAATTAAAATTCAGTTAATACTTCATAGATTTTATAGATTGAAAAACATGAAACTATAGCTTCAGTATAGCTTAACATTTTATATTTAAATGTATTTCTTTGTCTTCTTTTCATGAGAGAAGTTACATTTTTTTCAGTTTCTCTGACAATTTCAGGGCTAGACGAACTAGGTCCCAGTTGTCCTGTTTTTCTATTATACTCTTAATTAAGTTTTTTTTTTGTTTGTTTTTTAAAGAAACTAGGCAGTAACCCTTTCATTTCTGTTATCTTCAGAATAAAATTGGATGACATGTCCAGTGCCAATGTACCTTTCAGACGTTCAATGCTTTGTCAGTAATCTATCCATTCATCTGTCCATCAAAAATCCCTAAGATGATTTCATGAGCAATGAAAGCACTAAAACCAACTTTGTGGAAATACTGGTGCTCCGGAAGCAGAAATTCATTTTATTTCAAATTATAATTGGACTAGCATACCTCTGATGTATATTAATTATGACAACTACTATTATCATTATTTAGAGGAAGGGTCTTGCTCTGTTGCCCAGGCTGGAGTGCAATGGCACAATCATAACTCACTGTAACTTCAAACTCCTGGGCTCAAGTGATCCTCCCACCTCAGCCTCCTAAGTAGCCAGAAGTACAGGTGTGCCTCACCATACTTGGCTAATATTTAAAATTTTTTTGTAGAGATGGGATTTCACTATGTTGTCCAAGCTGGTCTTGAACTCCTGTTCTCAAGTGGTCTGCCAACTTTGGCCTCCCAAAGTGCTGGGATTACAGGCATGAGCCACCAGGCTTGGCCTTATTTTAATTATTTTCTAATGCAGTTGGGATAAAGTGAGGGAAGCGGAACTGTATTTGTTTTATTTTATTTTATTTCCATTTCCCCATCTTTAACCTTGTGGCAATACAAACTAAATTTTACTGTTTTGTATGTATATTCATAGTCGTATTGAGATTGTTTTCTTCCAGTCTGGCCAGATAGGTTATATTATACAGAGAAGAGCTTCCCAACTGATGCAGTGAGGCAGAGTAGATTACAGGCCTTTGATATACTGTTTCTTCCTGTCCTTGGGGCGGGCCTGGTAAGATTTAGGGGATTCACACGGCTGTCAACAGGCAGGAAAATCCTCAACTATTTACTCCAGCTTGTCTGCAAGTATTATTTTGAAGTGTTATCTTACGAGAAAAGCCATAAAGCAATGCTACCAACTACAGTAAAGGTTTGCTTAATTTTGCTCAATGAATATAGATCTGTATCCATTTTCCAGAAAAATATAAAGTAGATAGGTGATATTTAAAATATATACCCTTAGACTGAGAATCTTGAAAGTTGTGAATATCACTATAGTATGTCATTTTCCTTAATAAAATGCCATAAAATATAACTGAAAAAATTAAGCAATCACTTAATGAGTCAATAAATAAAGGACCAGATAGTTTTAAAGCTATTAAAATGCATTCTCACTGAAACATCCAATAAAACAATATTATAAATCTCCACATACACACATCACATTTCCATAGAGAGCTAATCTGAATTACGCCCAAATGGAAGATGTCACTTTTTAAGTTACCTAAGGTCTTTCTCTTTCCTGGCTAATAACCTAATATCGTTTTCCTGACTTTTTCTATTGCCAGAATTAACAGTTGCCTTGCTCTTTCATGGCTTTTGTTCATGTAGAAACAGTTTGTTACCACTGCATAAATAATTACATATATGAAGGCTATCCGAAAGCTATGTTACTTGCAGGTAGTAGTAGGTAGTAGGCAAGTCTCTATCAATATCAGCATGATTGATTTCTGCACATCACTTTGGTGGGGTAAATTTAATAACTATGGGTTAACAAACTGAATCTGTCATGGTTCTCCAGATATTTTAAACAATGCAAATGCTAAATCTTCCAATGAAAACCATCTACTGCACTGAATTTTCTCTAAGGATACATTTTTCTTCACCTACAAGTGAAAACAGAAATGCTGTGTTTTTTTGTTTGTTTTTTTGTTTTTGTTTTTGTTTTTTGCCTGGAGTTTCAGCTATTGAAGCTATGAGAGAAAGCCATGTTTGTAAAGAGAAATTAAAAATTGTTCTTTATTATATTTGCTACAGAATCCAGTAATGGGTAATCAAATAAAGTTCTCCAGGAGTGAAATGAAAGAACAGTCCATATGCCAATCTATTTATCTCCTCAGTCCACCTCTGATCACACTCTACCTTTCCTGTCTGCAGACTTGGTTTGTGTGCAGGTCAAATTACCTCCTATTTTCTTTTAATATAGTTTTGCCCTGGCAGGGGGCAGTATGATGACTCAACAACTAGGTTGTTATTAGTCACCTCCCTCTTAACACCACCCCTTTAGACACAATGCAAAAGGCAGTATTTAACCGATCTTATTGTTGGTAGAAGAAAATCATCTATATGGGTTACATCTACACACTAAGAAAGAGGCACTTCATCCATACATATGAAAACAAAACTGCCAAAAGATTTCACATGATTGTTTACTTGATGCACTTTTCAGAAAAAACTGTCAAACCAACAATAATAATAAGGCTTATACTTAAGCAGTAGATCTTAAGTAAAAAGATGTACATAAATCAAACTTTCAGAATTTAAAATGTTTTCCATCTGTTATGGTTTTAAGGAAGGTTTATCTTCTGATTTATGTTCAGTTGTTAACACTTCTTCACTGTTTAACTTCAGGGTTTCTGAATCACTATCTATACTCCCACTTCTACTAAGCTAAAGTAGTTAATGATTTGTAAAACACTTGTGTGCTTAAAGGTAATCAAAGACTCTTGAAAACTATGTCTAGCCCTAAAAAAAAAAAAAACAAAAAAACAAAAAAACACCCTTATTTTACAAATGTACCTTTCATTTATAGTTACTTTTAACAACAACAACAAAAAAGCACGGCAGCATGCACATGATCAAAGGCAGAATTCCCTATATCTAATAGTAAGAATAGCTACTATAATGAACACATAATTTAGGCAGTAAAATAGTAATTTTATAAGCTTTAGTGGTAAGCTTTTTAATAAACCTTTCAGGTATGTATTGCATTCCTAATTTGCCAGATGAGTTAACTGAGGATTTAGGGTCTTTGCTAATATAATTCCAGGTGATTCAATTTCAGAGAGTAGAGAAGAAATTGGAATCCAGGTATATTTGGATCGAAAGCCTATGGTTTTTGTTTTCATATTTGCTCAATTGCCCATTTTGTATCATTTTCAGGCCCAAGAAATTGTATCTCTCAGAGGCTCATGCCTGATTTGTGACAGCTTCTAAAAAAGTAAAACAACTGGATCCTCCTTTTTCTGCTCCTGGTGCTCATTACAAAACTAACTGGGGTTTTGCCAGACAGACTCTGTTGGGAGAACTACAAACATGAGTTCTTTGCCCTGAACAAAATCGCTGATTCTTACAACTCAAGTGGGTTTTGATCAGTTTCCTCTTCTGATGTCAGGGTGGTACTGCCAGTGCATCTTGCCCAATATGCAGTGAGGGCAGAGAGGGGCCCACTCACTCACGTCACTCTCTGAAATGAGTTCATGTAGAATAGGCCGGTTCACCTATTTTCCAGGCGGTGACACCCAAACCTGGTACTGTTCACTTAAAAAATGCTTACAAATAGGAGAATCGCTTGAGCCTGGGAGGCGGAGGTTGCAGTGAGCTGAGATCGTGCCACTGCACTCCAGCCTGGTGAGAGAGGACAGAGCGAGACTTCGTCAAAAAAACAAAAAAAGAAAACCTTGCAAATAAACAGTATTGGAACAAGAGGAAAGGGCCCAAACAAGTCTGGCACCTTCTTCCTCTTCATCATCTATTCTTTCCTTAAATTTGGACACAGAGCACTTAAGTATCTGCTGTGTGCTAACCACCTTGCTAAGTGCTGTGGGTCATAAGCATAGTTCAAGGAAAAATAAATAACAGTCGAAACTATTGTAGAGAAAGAGCTGTGCAGAACAGGATCAGAGGTGTTCTCAATTCCTCCTCCTTGTCTGGGGTTAGTTTGCTGGGCTTACCATAACAAAATACCATAGACGGGATAGCTTGAACAAGAATTTATTTTGGGAAAAACTATTCTGGAGGCTGAAATTTCAAGAGCACGGTGTTGGCAGGGTTGTTGGTTTCCCCTGAGGCTTCTCCTCTTGGCTTAGAGATGGACGGGTACCTTCCCACTGTTCCCCCACATGGCCTTGACTTTGTGTGTGCCACCCCTGGTGTCCCTTATAAGGTCCCTTATAAGGGCACCAGTCTTACTGTGTTAGGGTCTCACGTATGACTTTATTTAGACTTAATTACCTCTTTAAAGGCCTTACCTCCATTTACAGTAACTTTGGGGTTAGGGATTCCACATATGAATTTGGGGAAACAACCCACCCATAACAATAACCATTACATAAATGTCTATAATGTGCAGTGGACATAAGCCAAGGTAGGTCAGACACCACATGCATGGAGCTAGGAGCATGGATGCTTCAGCCAGTTTGGGTTCGAATCCCACGTCTGATACTTCTTAATTGTATAACCATTGGTGAAATGTCTTAATGTTAGTGCTTCATCGGTCAACCTGTTAAACCAGACAATAAGAGTACTTACCTCCCAGGGTTAATGTAAATTGCTTTGTATCTATTATTTTAGGAAGTTGAAATAAAAGTTGGCTATTAGTGGTGGCTAAGTGGTTTTAAAGATGGTGCTACTCCTTTTTCTCCTCTCGATGTAACACAATAGGAACTGTGAGAATAAAAGGTAAAAGACAGAGGAAATCAAATTCTTTAATTGAAAGATATTAACATACACCAAGTGTTCTTAATTGTAATCATTTATTATAATGTGAAGAAAGGTACAATACAAAACGACAATAAATTTGTAGCTTAATTATTTTCACAAATCTTTGTTGAGCACTTATTACAGGTGAGAAAGTGCTCTTGGTATTTTGGAGACAGCAGGGAACAAAATAAACAGGAATTGTTATTCTAGTGAAGCTTACATTCCAGAATGGATATATATCACCTCCACGTTTAACACTCATTTCAGAAATAGGGGAAAGTAAGACACACCCAATAGGAAAAAAAAAAAAAAAAGTCAACTGACAACCTCATAAAGCAAGTTAATATTGCTATCGCGTAGCCAGAAAAAAACACCCAGGAACCATACTAACTCTGGGGCTAGTTAGATGGGCTTCCCTAAAGGCTCCCTTGATCCCTGTGATGCCGGTTTGGGATTTTCTTACCCTACGTCCAGACACACCCGGACCATCTTCCCGCCCGGCCCGGCTCGGCCCTGTCCCGCGCCGCGCGTGGAGCGGGAGGGAGCCCGGCCCTCGCGTAGGTACCGGCTCCGGGGTCGCCGCCAGCCTCCGCTGCCCGTCTCCCCGCCCGCGGCAAGTCCACACTGGGGCCGGGTTTGAAGCAGCGCCGCCGGAGGCGGAGGGCCGGAGGTCCTGCCTTTGCCCCACGGCCGGTGGCCAGCTCGGCAGGTCCCTGGTCCCGGCGCCGTGGTCGCCCAGAGCGCGAGTGACTTTGTCCTCTGCTGGGTGACTCCTGGCTCACGTCACCAGTTTGACAGCCTCTCACCAAATCAGAGAGCGGCGCTCGCCGGGAGCTCTGGGCGTCACCGGGAGCTCCCGCAGATTAGAACTCGCCTCTCCTAGCTCCTCCCCTCAGTCTCATTTAAAGCTTCCCACTGGTTTTCCTGAAAACTTGAGTGGGCTCAGTTTCTGCAGCGCTTTCTTCCACTGCAAGATGGTAAGTGAGGAACTGGCGTTAGCTAGTCCGCTGGCAAACTTGGGTCTCTGGAAGTTAATGAGCTTTGCATTTAGAATTTATTCCACCTTGGGAGCAAGATTTCTCTGCTACCCACCAATTAAAACAGATCCTCTCTGCTGCCCTCTCTTTTAGTATCCTCTATCTGCTTTCTCTCTCTCTCTCTCGCCCTCTCTCCCTCTCCTCTCTCTCTCCTCTCTTCTCTTTCCCTCCCTCTGTTATTACTACTTTCCTTACTTTCTCCCCAACTTCCTCCTCCCCCTGCACTCTCTTTTCATTTCCACCTCTTCCTCTAGATTATGCATATATTTGCAAACACTTGGACATGAACTTGTCTAGGGATATTTGGGGTTTGTTTTCTTCTCAGGTATCAATTGCATAATAGCTTAGCTCTGATTTAAAAAAAAAAAATCTCAGGGAAGGAGTCTGCAAACACGCTTTTATAATAAAAGAAAATTGCACTTGATAAACTTTTGGCTGAATTTCTTTGGTCTGCACTGCCCAAGCTGGACTTGCTTCAGAACTGGAATTTTTCAAAACTTAAATTACTGAGAACATTAACAAAGTGTGATTGAATTGACTTAACTTTTTTTTCTCTTTCTTCTTCTTCTTTGTTTTCTCTCTGTTTACGTTAATGCCCAGAGAAGCTCTGTAGTAGTCAAAAAGAGTTTTTCCAAAGCTGGGCTCTGCTAAAATGAATGGTTTTTACCTGATTAAGCATTGACAGATAATTTAAATTTGGTGTTGTACCAATTCACCCAGGAAGGCTGCATACCTGCCCCTGCCTGGACATTTGGAAAGACTGTGTGTCTGAGGTTCAAGAAGTGGAGGGCAGGAGAGTGTTCACTGGATCAGAACACAGTGGAGAATACATGCCAGTTAGTGACAAGATAACTTTGGAGGAGCATAAGCCCTAGTGATGGGCAGAACTAGAGCTTGCTGACTTTGCTAACAAACTTCTTTCAGCTTTGATTATATGTTTACTTGGAGTGACTTTATGCTCCTGTGCCTAGTGTTGGGAGCAAAATGTTTTAATTATCTCTGGGACAGAGATAGATAGATAGATAGATAGATAGATAGATAGATAGATAGATAGATAGATACATACATACATACATACATACATACATACATACATACATAGACTGAGCCAGCAGCATGTTAGGTCAGAGGGAAGAGAAAGGAAGGAATGAGGCAAGTATGATTCAGAAACAAAAATGAAGAGGTTAGTCTATATTATGTCATATCCATTTCAGCTTTAGCATTCTGCGTTCTTTGTCCTTCAGGAGTTTTAGAAATATAATTAAGGTATTTGCTAGAAAGAACCAAATAGTTCTTATGTTTTTGCATCATTAAGTAGAATTCCCTTTATTTTAGATCTTGGGTAGACTATTAGATGAGCTGGACGTTGCAACAGAGAATCCTTCTGGATATGTACAAATTTTACCCATTCAATGCTAGTCTGCTCTTTTCATCAAAGGGCTTAAGGGAAATTCTGGGTAAACCAAGAAACTCATTCCCTTTTAGTAATTGTAATTTGACCACCCCAAAATTAATATGGATCTATACTTAACACCTTTTCTGATTTTTTTTCTTTATATTTCACTGCATATAATTTCGGTACTTCTCCCACCCTTTCCCCCTTTTAAATCTCCATCACCCCATCTCCTGGGACCCTGCACTCCCCCCATTCTGAATTTCACAGAACACCATTCTGCCTTGCCAAGACCAGTACTTTGTAGGAGGCCAGAGCTATAATTGCCCGTATTCCACTACAACGTCAGAATCTAGTGTTGACGTTTCCACGGAGACTTGGGTCTCTTTCTGGGCTGCTGGTCTCCTGGACAACAGAGAGCTCCAACAAGCACCACAGGCACAGGGTAAGTTCTGCTCTTCTGCTTCCCTGACAGATCTGGAGCTCTTTTCCATACCCGTGGCTACAGAGCATCATGGGCTAGGACTCTAGAATAAGGGACGATATGGAAAAGTTAAGTAAACCCAAGGACTCCTGATTTTTACAGTCAGAAAGCCTGCTGTTTTACACTTGCCAAATGGTGAAAATGGGATTCTTTACCTTGCCCACCGGATAGCATGTATTTCTCCCTACACTTTATAGTTCTTGGAGAGTCCTATCTCACTGTGGGAGTGTGAGTCTGGATCAAGGTTTTATAAACAACACACCAGCAGAATGTCTTTGGAATGAGGATACCAGTCGGAACACTTCTTTTGGAATTCAGGAAAGTTTCCCTGAGTTTGAGAGAAAAGCAAGGAATACTAGCTTAATTTTTATTTCATAGAGGAAGTTCCATGGATAGTGTGTTAGAAGTGGAAAAAGGATTCCCTTTTACACACAAAAAAAGCTTCAACTTTGGAGAGAAGTATAGCATTGACATAAAATGACATATTAATTTTGATCTGTGGCATGTGAGCAATATTTATAAGTATTAAAGAAATGTCTGTGTTAAACACTCCGGTTTCTTAAATAATTCTCAGACACCCTAGAATTAAATATCCATACCATTGGTTCTGCCACATGATTCGTTTTATTTTTTAAAAAGACACAAACAAAGGAACTGAAAAAATTAAAAGCACGCTTAAATGTCACAGAGGATGTTGTTGAGTATTAACTTTCCACTACAAGCAACAGTAAAAACAAAACAAAATGCCCAAGAGTGTGAACCCAAACTACTTATGCTGTTTTATTCCTATCTCCTTACTCATCATTTCACTTTAATCAAAAATATTTCAGTATCCACAGTATAACCAGAGAAGGGCAAGAGTCAAAACTATACTAGATGAAGAAAAGAAAGTAAAAGTAAACCCGGTTAGTATGCCCATAGTTTTTTATTGATAGATAGAGCTAACTGTCAAATATGGGGGGAAAAGCCACTCTGAAAAAAAAAATTTATAAAATATACAGATTAAAATAGTTGAAACAGATAAGGTCTGGGCACAGTTTTGAGATTTTCATTAAGATCTTCAAAGAAGCAAGGTCCAAATAGTTTTAAAGTAGAAAGTGCTACCACATAAAATTCCAAATAAATACAGTCCGTTAGATTAAAACAGGCAGGCAGACAGGCAGAGAAACTAGTAGCATTACAGATTAGAGTTTAATTATAGAGCCAAACAATATATTATCAAGTGCTCAAGCTTAGAAAGCAAGATAAAAACTAGAAAATCATAATGGAATTGCAATGTTATGCCGAGTTTAGGGGAGATCAGTAATATGTGCATAAATTAATGACAAAACTGGACAGTCTTTATTAATTTATCCAGCAGGAATACATACATTAGGCGAGAATGTGACCCCTTCCTGCTTATAAAAATTTACGTCTTTAACTGCTATGTGATCCAGTGTATAAATATTTGTTTCTCTCAGCTTGCTTGCCTTTTCTGAAAAACTTTAAATGTCTTGTTTTCCTGTATGGCAGCAATAGCTGTTTAAGAAAAATAATTGAACCTACTAAACTTTCTGATTTGATTTGATAAGTTTCTTTATCACACAGAAACTACAAGACTATTTTCTCAGTTATCCATTTGTATTTTCACAGATTCATTCAGTGACTCAAATTTTTCTCTTCCGGACTTGTGCTCATGGGAAGAGGCTCAGCTTTCCTCTCAGCTCTACAGAAACAAGCAGGTATGTGTAAGTCAGAGCGTTGAGACTGGTCGTGTTCTGCGTGATCCGTTCCCCACCGTTAATATCTTGCTTCTTTTCCCTTTTGAAATTCATGCTGACTCAGTTTAGAACTAAAGTGACTGTGTGTCCACAGAGAGATCAAAGTTAGATGATCAATGTCAGAGAAAAGAAAAACCACCAAGACACTCTAGAAAGGCCTGCAGTCAAGCTCCCACTTTACACATTTTAGCCGTATGACCTTGAATCCTTTGCCTTTTCCTCATTTATGGAATTGTAATCCTTGTGCTGCCTATCTCAGAGGGAATTTGAAAAGATCAAATGATATAATGAGTGTGACAGTATTTTTAAACCATAACATCGCTAATACTTGGAGAAGAGATAATGATTATAAAATATTTTCCTAAGATTGCTTTTTTCATGTTCTGTTAGTTTTGCCCCTGAAGGGTAATTTAATCTCGTGGACATACAGACAGATCAATCTGAGGCTGAAAGAAGCCAACCCACCTCTGTTTTTATTTTTTATTTATTTAAACATGCAAGGGAGGAGTCCAGCAAAATCTTGCTAATACTTGGAGAAGAGAATGATTATAAAATATTTTCCTAAGATTGCTTTTTTCATGTTGTGTTAGTTTTGCCCCGAAGGGTAATTTAATCTAGTGGACATAGAGATAGATCTATCTGAGGCTAAAAGAAGCCGACTCACCTCTGTTTTTATTTATTTATTTAAACCTGCAAGGTAGGAGTCCAGCAAAATCTTCCTAAACATCATTTTTGATATTTAATTTAATCTAGTGGACATACAGACAGATCAATCTGAGGCTGAAAGAAGCCAACCCACCTCTGTTATTTATTTATTTATTTAAACATGCAAGGCATCATTTTCTATATTTAATTTAATCTTGTGGACATACAGACAGGGCAATTTGAGGCTGAAAAAAGCCGACCCACCTCTATATTTATTTATTTATTTATTTATTTATTTATTTATTTAAAAGTGCAAGGAAGGAGTCCAGCCACATCTTCCTAAACATCATTTTCTGTATTTAAACAGTAGCCTGCGGCTCATTTTCCTTCATATCTACCTGATTCCCTTGTGATTACAAGTTTAAAAGTATTATAATCTCTCCAAACACTTTGCAATGAATGAGAATTCAGAGCACAAAGCTGAACAACTGGGCGTTAGGGGAACGTAGATTTAATTTAGGCCTCTCAGGAT